TTCACTTAGAGAACTTGAGTGCAAACACTTAAATTAAATTACTTGATTCAAATCTCTTGTCTTTTGCATACCTTCTCGCCCATGACACCAAAATACACACTTCCATATCCACCAACTCCAATTTTTCTGGTTTCATCGAAGTCATCGGTAGCCTCTTCAATCTCCTCGAGACTAAATATTACTGTTTTTTCTGATTCAAATGGTGTCGCATCTGTACTAGTAATTAAATGCCGTAATATGAATTAGCAAATGATCTATCTTACATCCTTTGTGGGCTATTACTGAGAAATTGTACGGCATAAATAGCAACTTATGTTACCTTTCACAACTTTTGTATGAAGAGGGTCTGAAAGAGTTCTAATGGAAACTGATCTTTCGGATGATCCTTTGCTCTTTTTGCTCTTAATGATGAGAATAAGCGTTGTGGACAACGAAAGCAATGCCAACTGCTAGTATCCCAACGACTATTGTAAAATTGGTGATCCTTTTTCCTGCCCAGGGGAAAAATCAAATCAAGGACATTCAACCTCCTTTTGATTGCTTGCAAATAATACAAACATCAATGGGCTGAAGATTAAGGGTGTATAAAAGAGGCTAGTTAATTAAGTTGAAAATTTCTATTAGACTCCACAATTAAATTTAAGAAACTAATTTGATCAAACAAAAAAGAGGTTTCCATGTCCTTCCTTTACTATAACCGCAAATCTATATCCACCAAATAAATAAATAAATAAATAAACCAACTTCAGAAGAGCACGAGTGACATTGAATGTATATCAGACTCAAATATAATGCAATGATACAGTTTGATCGTGGCGGCCAAGAAAAAAATACCTTTATTATCAACATTACTATCATCAAGCGATGGAATGCCATTTAACTCACTGGGAATAAATGGAACCCATCCGACATCTATAAACGATGGGTTTGGATTTAAGATCCTGTTCAAGTTCTTCATGTTATCAACCGTAGAATCGAGCAGACTAGCAATCGTGAAGGGTGTTTCATTCTGCTGCACCGTATACGTCACGACAATCTGAGACTCACTCATTGAACACCCACAGAGAAGATATATCGTTAGAGTCTCATTTGTCTTCAAATTAGTATGATTTCCCAGAATCCATGCTTGCCCATTATAAACCAGATCAGAAATATTCTGCACTGTGTCATTAGGCTGCACTGGTCGTCTGATAAAAGTACCCACTAAGCTCACTGGTATTTAGACAAGTACAAGGTACACTAACGAGGTAATCATCCTGTTTACTGTCGGGACGCCTTACGGTTTTCAAATGGGATACGTTGATGGAGTAGTGTAATGCGATGTCTTCTTTGGTGAGGAGATTATTATTCTTGTTCACATGATATAATGAGGCATTGCACTGGGGGATAATAGTAGAGCAATTCAAGGGTTCTTTGTCAAAGACTTTGGTCTTAATCATGAACGAGTTTGCTAGAAGAGGAAGAAGCAGAGAAAGAAGGAGGTTACGTGAAGCCATAATGGAAGCTTTTGAAAAACTTTGGTGCTGAGAAGAAGAAAGGGTATAAAACTGAGGAGGTTTCAGACAAGAGCTTCGTGCTCGTCCGTTGTTGTCATGACTTGGCAAGTACTGATCATTCTTCGGAACGATTGATGATCTAGAATCTAGAATCTAGATTAATGAATAGAATATAATTTGCATGAACTGTGTTAAGTTAATTATAAGCTAGGGTTTTATAGGGTGGAGGGCTGTGCATGGCAAGTTACATATTACTGCTCGAAGTTTACGTTCTGAGTTATCTATGTTGTCTCTCAGCAATATTAACAAATGTCAAGATTAGTGATCTTTCATTGGGTGGCATTGTTGCCGCCGGCAATACATGCCAAATTCACACCTAGTTGGAACAAGAACCTATCATATTAATTGATAAAGATATATACATAGTTCTACCAGCAATCTCGTTTCGCACATTATAATTAGCTTTTGGAAAAGTAAAAACTGACCAAGACCTGTATGAAATATACTCCATCGAGCAGTTGAAACATGCAGTTACTGTATGATCAGTTTTGAAAGGTATTAATTCGAACGAATGTAAAGTTGGCCAACGTAGAAATAGTTAAGAATTAATAATTAATAAATCAGTAAAAGTATATAGTCCATGAAAAACTAGTAGGTATAATGCAACACAGTAATACAAGTCTTTACAATTAAAAATTGATAGTAAATAATTTAAGAGTTATAACCAGGCGGTGTCAAGAGATTTTGAGGCTTAAAGGTAAAAGGGCGTAACATATATATAATAAGTTATCAATACTTATATTACTTTTTAACTTTTCTTTTTTTCTTTAATTTTTCAGATTAATACTTTCTATTTGACATCTTTTATCACTAGAAATTAAAAAAAAAAACACAATACACATAGTATTTTGAACAAACACACCTGATTGCAGCAAAAAAGGTCCTGTGAATGTGATGAGCCTTTGAATGAAGTTGCGTGAGATTTAAAAGCTGACCTATTTTGAATGTTTGTTAAGCCAAGAGTTTTCTAGAATAGAAAGACGGGAAGAGAGCATGATTTCTTTAGGTTTTAGAATGGAAGCAAAAAAAGAGAAAAAATGGAAGAGTTGAGATGAAAAGTGAGAGAAAGTTAGAAATGATGATGCTAGAATTGTAGAAAGAGAATGAATAATAATTAATGATTAGATTAAGGCTAACCCAATAATTAAATATTATTTTGGAATGTGGAAAGTTTTTTAATGGGAGAAAAATTGGGGCTTTATTTTTTTAATTTGATATTTATTACATAATAGGACAAATATATCTCTTCATCTCCTCATACTACTACTACTATAAAGGCACTCATGACCTTTTTTTGGGGCTCTAGGCAAGCGTCTTACTTGCCTATGGGTTCCCACGGCCCTCGTTGTAACATGGTTAGTCTCCGATAAACTATGATCCTACTTCGATGCTGTGTGAAGATCGCTCATCAGACGCCCACAACACAAAGGATAAAGGAATATAACCATTGATTTAATCAAATGATCTTTATGTTTTCTTTTCTTTTTTTGATAAAATCTTTATGTTTTCTTTTATTTCAAAAGAGAATATTCAAGTCCGATCGAGAATAGAGAAATTAAAGAGACAGAGAGTAGGAAAAACCAATTTGGATGGGGATCTAAGCAACGATGTTTTTGCGAATAAATTAAAGAAGATTCTCATTTCTCAATCAGGTTTCATATATTGGGACGACAAAGATGTGTGTCAGCCTCGTGGCCAGCTTCTTATTATTTTAAATTTAAACTTTAAATGCTCGTTTTAGTTTTTTTGCAAGTAGAAAACGTTACCCTATTTCTTTGTGACTATATATGATCACTGACAAATTAAATTCCCATTAGTTTCTCGGTCAACTCTCAGAGGGTACGTACTCATGTGTACATATGTAACTTTATTTATTTATTTTTCCTTTTTTTGCTTATTGAATGGCCTGTACATGTAATTTTTATTCAACATGGATGCGCGGGCGCACATACATACATACATATATAACGTGCCTGGATTAGGCTTTTTGGTGCCATTGGTTAAATTACCAGAGTTTAAATGTCTTTGGTATTTTACAGCTATAGGTGGGTGTATCTCTTCTCTGTTGCTGTACATGTTTTCAATTTAATTAAGATTCCATTAATGAAAACCGAAAAACAGCTTGTGGACAAATTTTATTTTGATGTCACTGCACTGGGAATTAGCTGTGTATTTTTTTTTAAATCACCATAACATGTGCGAACATCGTGTTTTGGGACCAGGTTGTCGATGCCCTGGCTGGACTATGTTTTTCTCGTCTGTTTTCCAAAGCTTCTTTTATTTGTTGTCCCTGATCAAATACATACACTTGTTTTTTTTTAATATAAGGCCACAGAAAAAATTGTGCAAGAGATCAAAATCAGATTATGTCGTAAGTTATAAAGCTTTTACATTCAATGGTGGGCTATTATAGAAAGTAGTATCAAAATGATCCTCTTAAGCCATATAAGTTAGACAGTTGGCACAACGGTTGGCTTTTCTATAGATATGGTCAAAAGAGATTTCTCAATTTCTTATAAAGATGCTTCGAATGTTCTTTAAAATTTGTGCAAGAGGGTGGTTTTGCTTGAAATTAGTTTCAATGAGAGAGAGAGTTTTCATAAAATCGGAGCAAACATTCACTTTGATAATCTCAATATTTCAGCTTATGTCACACTCGTTCTTATGTTTGTGTGTGTGTGAGTGTGTGTGAGAGGGATAGAGGATCTTTTAAGGAAGCGTGAGGATCGAAGGACGTTCATTCGGTGGTTGTTATTATTTTAATTTTTAAGACCGACCGGAAATAATACTGTTGAAATTTTAGGTAATTAGATAAATATAAAAAGTCTCATAGTTACATTTAACATGCACTACCACTTAGGTCTAACGGCCACAAACTTCACAAAAAGTCAAAAAACGAAATGAAGGCAATAACCTTTTGTGCATTGAGTTATATGAAGATATCATTTCACGTTTATTGGAGAGGATATCCACCAGATTTTGTTTTTTCCTAACATTTTGCACACTGGGGTGCCGTACAATTAGTTTATTTTATTTTTGTATTGGCCTTCTCTTCTTCTCCGATATCCTTCCCAAAAAAAAAAAAAAAAACCCAAATATTAGCCATTTCTAAAATTTTGTTCCACGTGAGCTTTAGTACTTGTGGAAGTTCCTGGACAAGAGCAAACATAGCTAGGTTACTGGCAACGTACACTCATGCAAAAATTTACTTTAGCTCTGACCCAGTCACCCACCCTCAACTTTTCTTTTCCACCTACCGTAAAAATAGAAAATAAATAAATAATAATTAAATTAATATAAAAAAATTAACAGTCCTCCCAAAAAAAAGATCTGGAGAACAAACAAAGCCTCTTCTTCTGCCATGGCCACCAATATTAGAGGTACACTTATATCACAACTTCTACATATGATGAAGATATAACTTAGACATTGAAATATTGGAGATGGTGACATGCTTTGTTACTGCGGCCTTTGTTTTATTCAACATGGTGGTCGTAGTCATGGTGGTTCCTTCATGCGAGCAAGATCAGTCTGCAGAGAAAAAGCCGATGAGGCGAGGGATTTGCAAAAATAACCACACAGTACTTAAGGAAAGGTACGACAGGAATCGTTGCCCATATGCTGAGAAAATTGTGGCTGATCATGTCAAGGATCTTTTCGCCAATGACCCTATCGTAGTTGCCAACTTCATTCGCAACCTCTTCCATGACTGCTTCGTTAATGTAAGCTTCCTTCCCAAACAATTCAACATTCATGGATATATAGTAGACACCCACATGAATTAAGAGAAATCTGGGCACAACACAACATTTTTTAGAAATATATTTTGTTCACTTAAGAAACAATAATACTTTCTGATGGACTTGAACATTCTTACTACTGCATCATTTTTTTCAAAAAAAAAAATGAGTTCGTTAAAGATCAGATATGTACACTCTCTACTCTCTTTGTATTAGAATAATTTGGAGAAATATACTGCCCCTCTTCAATCATAAGAACTACTCAAACTAAAGTTATCGTGTTTAACCAAAACGTAAACCCTTTGGCATTGTGGATGGACTTGAATCTTCTTGCTGCATCATTTTCTGAGAAAATGAGTTAAACGCCCTCTCTTACAGGAATGCGATGCGTCGCTTTTGTTAGACTCGACGGAGAGTAATGGATAAGGTACAGAAAAGTTCTAAAACAAACGGAGAGCTCTTGCAAGGCGTGGGATACATTGACGACATCAAAGTGAAGCTGGAGGCAGCTTGTCCTCTGACAGTGTCATGTGCTGACATACTCTCATTCGCCGCCATGGAAGCCATGACACTTCTCGGAGGACCTCGATGTCCGTATCTCGGAGGCCGCCGCGACGGAATGGTGTCGCTTGCTTCTCAAGTAGACATAGACCGAAACATTCCTCTCCCAGAATGGACCGTCGACCAAATCATCCAACTCTCCCATAAGAAAGGGTTCAGCGTGGAGAACATGGTGGTTCTCAGTGGCGACCACTCTGCTGGTGTGGCTCACTGTAGTGTCTTCAAGGACAGGATAGTTGGGTACGGTGGGTCGCCGAAACCTAACGTGCCAAACCAGCTGGTGACAGGGCCGGCTATGAAGCGTAAGCCACCGGGGACGACGGAGGCGAGGGCATATCCGACGGTGAGCTTTGAAGAGACACCGACGGTACTTGATAATATGTTCTTTAGGAATCTGGTGGAACAAAAGAAGGCGTTGCTGGCATCGGATCAGAATTTGCTTAACGATCCAAGAACTTCTCCTTACGTGCATCAGTTCGCCGGAGATGAACAGTTGTTTAAGAACAAGTTTGCCGACGCGTTGGTTCGGATGTCTTCTTTAGATGTGCTTATTGGGAAGAGTGGGGAGATTAGAAGGACTTGTAAGTTAACAAATTAGTTTATGTTGTCTGGGGATCGTCCGCTGGGGTTGCAGTTATTTTAGAGCCGTTAAAAAAATATTGTAATTTCGAAGTCGGATCAATCATACATTTCCTTCTAACCAAAAAATGCAAATCATAACATTGCCCTTCCTTAAAAAAAAAAAAAAAAAAAAAACTACATTTGCTATTTGCTGGATCACCCTTTATCAGAAGCTGAGATGCCATTAAACCTCAGATTAGCGAGTCAAGCAACTTGGTTATGTGTCTAGTGCTGTTTATAGGAATCAAGACAGATGAGAGGATAAAGTAGAAGCACATTTTTGTCCTTTCATCTTTCTTGTGAACGGATAGAAGCTCCCTTTTACATTGGATAGAATGTAAAAGCCGCCGTGCTTCAGGTAACAGCGAGATGCCAAACTGCCACGGGTTCATTCTGAAAGCCACGGATAATAACTACAGCGACATATCACCTCCTATTTCGTTCATAACTTTCTCCACCTTAGACAAAATATCTATCAACAGCAAAACCGTGCATCAAAAACGTCTCAAGAAAACGACAGAACGCGTGATGTTAACAAATGAATATGTCAGAAAATAAGGCAACAAACACGCTGAAGTTCAAGCCTTGAATCTGCAGAAAGAGCATAGTGATTGATGCTAGAGAATAAGATTATGGGTAATATGAAATATTGAAATTACCCGTAAGAAAAAGGAACATGAGTACTTCTTCACTTAACTAACCACCTTATGTGTTGAAAAAGTGAAAGGATTGACCAAAGAAAATAACCGGAGTTTACATTTGTAAGCGAAATAAGCATTACGCGAGAGAGAGTCAGAGTTAGGGGTGTTCACGGGACGGGACGGAACCGGAACACCCCCGTCCCGTGCCCCGTCCCGAAAAAAAGATCGGGACTGAATTTTGGTCCCGTGTCCCGTCCCGTCCCAAAAGTCGACCCGTCCCATTAAAAGTCGGGACGGGACCGGGACAAGATCGGGACGTCCCGCCGTCTCGATAAATGAAATAATATCGAAAAAAGATTTGGATAATAATATTCGTTAAAATTTTAAATTATATAATTTATTAAGTTTAAAATCAAAATAACACAAGTACATAAATAACAATAATTTAAAATCAATTATTAAATTATATTAATCACAACTACATATTATAATAAAAAATACAAGTAATCTTTATGCTATAAGATTAGCAACAACAGGCAAGTCAAACACAACATCAAATAATTGTTCTTCTACTTTAGTGAAAATGTACTAAGCTAATTACTCTTCTAAAAATAAGCAAGAAATATGTTATAAATAAAAGTTATTAAATAGATAGATATAAGAATAAATTATATTAATATAATTAATATATTATAAAAAAGATATCACCATGTTTACTCCATGCCATTAAAATTATCAATATAAAAACACTTTAGTTTTAAATAAGAATTGTAAGTATTAAAATTATAATTGATATAATTAATATAAGTATAAATTATATTAATATAATTAATATATTTAAAATAAAAATAATATATATAATATTTGGGACGGGACGGGACGTCCTGATGGTAATCCCGTGTCCCGTCCCATCCCGAACCCCTTTCCTGTCCCGTCCCAGTTATTTTCGGGCCGGGACAAGACCCGTCCCGATATGATCGGGATGATATCAGGCCAATCGGGATGAGTCCAGATTGAACACCCCTAGTCAGAGTAGTAGTTATTATACCTTGGAAGAAAGAGTCTTCCATGTACTTCTGCAACAAAAGAAGACAAGTAAATATATTAATGGTAGAGTACTATTTATAATAGCAGAACAAATTTAAAAGGAGAATAGTTGTTCCAAAGCATTCTCGTCAGGGAAAGCCTATGCTGACGACCAGCTCTGTATCAACACAGGTAATAGAATTTTGCCAGTATCAGTACTTTAAGGGTAAAATTCTAGATATGTACCACAATCTGGGACTTGATATCAATCTCCTTGGAAACATTTTGTCGAGCTGCAACACAAAATTTTAATCAAATAAGACTGATTGTAGTGGGAAATCAGAACCAATCTTGATGTCACCAAAGAAATATCATACCCTGGCTGATCTCAGAGCAATCCATTAGTAATGATGTGAAACTGGGAGGCAAGGCAGGGTATACGCCTTCAAAATTGTGACCAGCAGTGGTTTCCTTTTCTTGGGTACCTGAATACCGGTTACCTTCATTGTTGGAACTTGGGGGCATTTTCGGAATATAAGTGTCAAAAGGTGTTATGGTGCTAAGTTCCTCACCAGCTCTACACATAAGGGAAGCATCAGTATATATTCTCAACAGAAACTCTGCATAATTTGAAATGAACATACACAACTTCTGGAAAGAGGAGAAAAAGGAAATAAATAACAAGGAGAGAACTCGGGACATTCATCAAAGCCAGCGAAGTAAAAGAAATGCGAAAATTGACACATTAACATCATTGACAGTGCATGAAGATGTAATTACTCAAACTTCTATAGTCATCCCGTTACAACCTACAGCAGTCATTGAACTTCTCACCGGTGGGAGTGCTTGTTTGATGACATAAACTCTGATTGCGATGAAATTTCAGATCCAAAGTCAGTATTGGGAGTTTCTGGTCCCTTCTTATCTTCCAGGATCCCCTAAAATAAAATAAGTAAACAAACACACTTCAGGAAAGCAAAGATGGCATTACAAACCATGCCCCTCGTTTCATGTACCGGTCAAGCATCTATTATGATTCACAATAGTGGCTTCACCTTCAAAGTATCTATAAATGACTGTGCATCATAGAATGATGGAAACCTCATGCCGAACTTCTGGATCTGCCAAAGAGCAAAATAACTGTCTGAAGAGCCTTTTCTATTACTGCAAAACAAGGTGTATCATAACTAGGACTTCAGGTGAGTTATGTGCATAGCCAGATTTTCTTGGTATTCTAGTGAAAGCAGTCCAGTTATAACCTTGCAGCAATGCAAAAATTATCAGCAACCTACAGCATTTATCTATCATTTGCAAAACTAAAAAACTTCGTATTTAGTATTTGCAAATGCCTGTGTAGGCAGCAAGAATTTCAATTTATACATCATTTTTTTATTCAATGATAACGCCCTTAATCTTGACAATGTAAACAATATTCATGTAGCTAGAAGACACGACAAGAAAGACAACTACTTTTTTTTTCCGCCAAAAAAGAAGAAGAAGAAGAAGAGAGACAACTATTTCGTTCTCTCTCTTTCTCATTTATAGCATCTGAGAAATGGGAAGAACCTGCACTGATTACTTAAGGTCGTGCTTTGTAAAGTTAACAAAGGGAGGGATATGAGATAAGTAAAATGGTCAACTTGCCTCCCCCACGGAATCTCTGTAGCTGACTAGTACAGTTTTGATGCCCCTAGCAGGAAATCCAGATGCACATGACACCTGGGGCCAGGAAAAATGCAGCTTGGAAACGTAGTGCTCCTCCTGTCAAACATTACACAATAATTCTCCATTGAATGATGTGCTACTAAGGAAAGAATCAACTGGCAGTGGCTCACTAAGACCAAGCCATATAATGTTCTAAACAGGAGCAGCTCTATTTATATGCATTGCTGCTGCGTGCACATAATGAATAAAAGTGCGTCCATTAACATGCAGAACAAAGTGTATTTAGTATAAATATATTTTTCGTCAGATAGGCTAAAAAGAGATCTCTCTTATCAAGCACATTTTGAGAGATAATCGAAAACTAAAGCTGAATTTAGGCATGAAGGTTAGTTGGAATTTTAAACAAATGCTCCGCCAGAAAAGATAAGAAGAGGACAAATAAAAAAATTGAAGAGAATTTCCATTGACGAGGAACATTATCCCAATCTCAGCCTAACGGAAGTACCGGTACTTGAACAGGGAAAAAGTATTAAACATTACATTGTTCTTCAAACTGTATTAAATATGTATATATTGTATAGGCCTATTTGATCGAAGCATGTTTTATAGGGCCGTGTCCTGTCACTTAGCCGTACATATATTTCTAAAGCTCAAGTCTCAACGTCTTTTATATGCAATCAAATCTTTTATAACACAATCGGATGAACTTTTGCAAGCAATCTAAAACATCATTATCACAGTCCTTAAACTACATAATGGCGATTTGACATATTTCAAAATCTTCTGCCATGAACGCCCTACCAAAATCTGCAACCATTAAAATGACATTGATGTTCTTTGAATCTTAATCAACGTATTTCTTACTAACTAGAAAGAGCAATCGTTCGAGAACCAGGAAGTAAACAAATATCAACACTCACAAATCAGAGCAAGTAACATGAGAAGCGTCTAACACTGCCGAAGAATTAAGGACTTACGAGTACTTCGTCGTTGAAGTAGATGGTGATGATCACATCGGAGTTAGAATAGTCGTTGATGAGCCGGCAAAAAGCAATGGAAGGGGACGAGATCCAACTGCCTCCGGGACGACGATTCCTGAGGCAAGTAGGCAGAGGAACAGGATCCGAGCAAGAGATGGTGATTGAGGGATAGGCGAAGAAACGAGCGAAGTTGATCTCCCACTCATATCTGACAGTCTTCATCGGGTTCTCACTGCCATTGCCTGATATCAGAGCGAGCGAACCAGCCATTTGTTCTTGGCTCGCCTTTCAGAACTTTGAATTTAGGTGCGAAAAGAATGAAGAACACTCTTGTTTATATACGAAGCCCCCGGCTGCTAACCCGAACAGCGTGATCTTGTTTGCGGCTTTCGTAAGCTGTAAGGCTCTTTCTCTCTCTGTTTTTTTTTTTTTTTTTGCTTAGGTACAAATTAATAAACTGAAAAATTTGTTTTCCATTTTGATATTGATATTAACTATTATTTCTCGATCTTTGTTTTATTTAATATTATTTCACTTATAATTAATTTTATTTGAGAATTTGATAACAAATCTTTATGTTGTCATCTGTGAATCAAAATTTATAAAGGCAAACAAGAATTTAGAATGAACAAATTATGGTGTTGATAATTGTGCTTCATCGTGATAGAAGACAAGCATATTTGTTGCTGGATTTTATGGGGGACAGGGGGAGGCATAGCTTTAAATAGTCGGCTTTTGTGGCCACTACAGCAATTAGATGATCCATCTAAATAGTACTCTTTTTTATTTTAAATTATAAAATATTTTTAAGTAAAATTTTACATATCAATAAATTTTATTAAATACACTTAACAATTTTATTTTTTTAAAATAAAAATATAAAATCTTAAAAATATTCATAATTTTAATATATTAAAAAGAAAAAAATAAAAATTAATTATAGAAAGAGAAAAGGTAAATTTAAAATTGATACATTAAATAAAACCTTAATATATTCAAAATGTCTTATATTTTAAGATGGATAAACTTTTTTGAAAGTATTTTATAATTTGGTATAAAGAAATTTTAATTCAAATTTGGAATTTAGGGCCGATACTACAAGCTACTAACTCAAGTTGGAGTACATATAAGAGATTGGATACAGATTTGGCTTTGGAAGCTGATATTGCATGCAAACGGGAAGGATTGCGATTTGTACTTACCTTTTTCTATATTAGATGCAATTTTTTTTTAAAAAAAATTCAGCCAAGTGAAGCAATTGTGCATGAAACGGAAAGAGCAGAATGAAATAGAAAGAGCAGAAACGAGCTGAAACAGAAGGCACACACATAATGAAGCAGAAAACGAGAGACACACATAATGGAGCATCATAAACTCTTTATAACCGCCCCTTAATTTTTGTAACCCCCCTTTAAATTTGTATGGCTCAGTTTCACGAATTCTAGGATTATAAATAGGACCTTGAGACTTGTGAAAGAGGCAGACTTCAGAGAATAAGAATTGCTTGTTGTTCATTCGGTTTCTGTGCCATTTTGGTATCAGAGCTGGTCCAGAGAGCGAGAGAGTGAGTTACAGTTGAGAAAGTACGCCGGAAAGAAGAGAGATTCAGAGGAGGAGTCCCTGACGTCTTCGCGTTTTACAAACCAGGCATTTTCTCAGAAAACTAACATCACCATCGTGCTCAGGAGGTCCGAAAATGTGGAACAAGAGGTTCCTCGTTACCGAAAACAGCCGCACGCACCGCCACGCACTACTGTCTTAAGACCACACGCCTCGCCGTCGGTCCACGCGCCTTCATGCGCCATCCGAAGGTTGAAGACGCTGACGTCATCTGCCACGTCATCATTCTGACCGGTCAATGACAGGTCAGCCCAGTAGTTTTTCGCCACGTGTCACAATCGCCACGTCACTGTACCCAGTCAGCCAACTTTTCAGAAATTACAGTTACGCCCCAAATCTTTCAGTAATTCCAATTTTACCCCTATTTTTTATGAAATTTCATATTGACCCCCAATTTTTTTGAAATTCCATTTTAACCCCTAAACTTTTCTAAAATTACACTTTTACCCCTTGATTTTACCTGAATTTCATTTTAACCCCTATATTTTTCATAAATTTCAATTTGACCCATTATTCTTCTAGAATCGCTATTTTACCCCCTAGACAGTCCAAAATCCCCATTTTGCCCTTAGCCTTTTGAAAAAAATCTCACTTTACCCCTATATCCTTCAACGTTTCCAATCGCACCCCAATTTTTATCCCTAGCCTTGACACTTATCCAAAATGCCTCCAAGACATAGACATGTGCACGAGGTTGAGATGGAAGAGTTGAGACGTAGGATATGAGAATTGGAAGCCACTGTAGCAAACTCTGTTAAACAACAATAGAGAAAACTTAGAGAGAGATTCGGGAAGCAGTAGTTCGTCATCTACTGACAACCGCCGCCGCCCACGACAACAACAATTTCGCCCTAATGATATCAAGGTTGACATTCCTGAATTCGAGGGAAGGCTCCAGCCAGACGAGTTTGTAGATTGACTGCAAACTGTTGAACGAGTATTTAAATACAAGGAGATTCCAGATGCGCAGAAAGTCAAAATTGTCACCCTCAAACTCAAGAAACATGCTTCTATTTGGTGGGAAAACCTCAGACGGAAGCGAGAACGTGAGGGAAAGCGCAAGATTGAAACCTGGGAGAAAATGAAACGCCAGCTCACCAGGAAATTTTTACCAGATCATTACCACCAGGATAATTTTATCCAGTTGCAAAATCTTCGACAGAGATCTTTATCTGTAGAAGAATATACTAGAGAGTTTGAACAACTCATGATGAAGTGTGATATTCAGGAGAAGGAGGAGCAAACAATAGCCCGGTACCTTGCAGGCTTAAACACAGATATCAGTCGTCCAGTCCAGCTTCAACAATATTGGACCTTGGATGATGTCATCCGTCTAGCCATGCGTGTTGAGAAGCAGATGCCCAAGAGATCCACTTTCCAACCTTCATCCTCTAGGAGTTATCCAGAAGGCTGTAAAGCAGAATTTCAGTAGACCAACTCCTCAAGCAAGCCACAACCTACTGCTATGCGCAAACCACCATCCAATGCTGTCAAGGAATCTGGTTCTAAAGCAATCAAATGCTTTAAATACCAAGGATTTGGCCACATTAATGCAGACTGTCCTACACGAAGGGTTGTCACCATTGAGAAGGATCAGGGTATGAAGCACTAGAAGAAGATGAGGAGGACGATGAGTTCCACGGCACTGATCCCGTATATACGAGGAGGTCACACCTGCTGATCAAGGAGAAGCATTGGTGCTTAGACGAAGTCTGCATACAACAATAGTCAAAGAAGAACCTTGGCTACAATGCAACATTTTTCACACTCGTTGCACGGCCCAAGGAAAAGTTTGTAATGTTATCATTGACAATGAAAGCTGTGAAAATGTAGTATCTGACTACATGGTAGAGAAATTGAAGTTGCCAACACAAGATCATCCGCAACCTTACAAGCTTCACTGGCTCAACAAAGGGAATGAGGTAAAAGTTTCTAAACAATGCCTTATGACCTTTTCTATTGGGAATCGATATTGTGATGAAATTTTATGTGATGTTGTTCCCATGGATGCATGCCACCTTCTCTTGGGGAGGCCATGGCAATATGACTGACATGTTATGCATAACGGGCGAGCGAACACTTATTCTTTTACGAAAGATGGTGTCAAGTTTACACTAGCGCCTCTACCACCCAATGAGATTAGCCAATCTTCAAGGGAATCTAGTGTTTTTAAGCCGTTAGTGTCTTTGTTGACTAAGGAGGAATTCAAGGTGTCAAAATCCGAAGCCCAAATGATGAGCATTATTCTGGAGCTTGAGGTAAACGATGAGATAGCCAATCCACCTGGAGTCATTTTGTTATTGTCAGAATTTTCAGATGTAATATCCGATGAGATACTACCAGGGTTGCCTCCAATACGAGACATATAGCATGCCATTGACTTCGTTTCAGGAGCAGTCATTCCTAATAAGCCTGCTTATAGGATGAGTCCCTAGGAACATGCTGAAGTCCAACGACAAGTTGAAGAGTTGTTGAAGAAAGGATTAGTTCGAGAAAGTATCAGCCCTTGTGCTGTACCTGTTCTTCTAGTACCTAAGAAGGATGGAAGTTGGAGAATGTGCATTGACTGTCGAGCCGTCAACAAGATCACTATTAAGTATCGATTTCTGATACCTCAGCTTGATGATATGCTGGACCAATTGCATGGTGCCACTACTTTCTCCAAAATTGACCTTTGTAGTGGGTACCATCAAATCAGAATTCGGCCAGGAGATGAGTGGAAGACCGCTTTCAAGACCAGAGATGGCTTGTACGAGTGGAATGTGATGCCTTTTGGATTAACAAATGCCCCTAACACATTTATGCGCCTGATGAATCAAGTATTGAGACCCTTCATTGGTAAATTTGTTGTTGTGTACTTTGACGATATTCTTATTTACAGTAAGAATCAAGAGGAGCATTAGATCACTTGCGGCAAGTTTTGCAAGCCTTGCGTGAACAGAAGCTTTATGCAAATCTCAAGAAGTGTATCTTCCTCACTAACGAAGTTGTGTTCTTAGGTTCCATCATTACCGCGGAAGGTGTTCGCATTGATCCAAGCAAAGTTGCAGCCATTGACAGCTGGCCAATTCCAAAATCTATCCAGGAGGTTCGAAGCTTCCACGGATTAGCTTCTTTCTACAGGAGGTTCATCCATAATTTTAGCTCAATTGCCGTACCACTTACAGACTGCACCAAAGGAGAGAAGTTTTAGTGGACAGAGCAAGCTCAGAAAAGCTTTAAGGAGCTTAAGAAGAAGTTAACCGAAGCTCCAATCCTAGCTCTTCCTAATTTTGACCAAGTATTTGAAGTTAGCTGTGATGCTTCTAACACCGGCATTGGTGCTGTCTTAAGTCAGGAGGGCCATCCCATTGCCTTTTTTAGTGAGAAGCTCAATGATGCCAAGCTCAGATATTCTACCTATGACAAGAAATTCTATGCCATTGTCCGAGCTCTTCAATATTGGAGTCATTATCTCCTAAATAAGAGTTTATACTTTTTTCGGATCATGAGGCTCTCAAGTATTTGAATTCCCAGCAGAAGATCAGCCACAGACATGCTCGTTAGAGTAAACTCTTACAGTCTTATCCATTCCTTATCAAACATAAGGCTGGAACTCTGAATTCCGTAGCTAATGCCCTTAGTCGTCGCCATGTGCTACTTACAACACTGCAAACCAAGGTTGTTGGATTTGACCTTATCAAAGAGTTGTATCAGGATGATCCTGATTTCCAAGGAGTGTGGGAAGCAACCGTAAATCAACCTTTCCACCAATTTTACAGGCATGATGGTTTTTTATTTCGAGGTAAAACCCTCTGTATTCCACAGGGTTCCTTAAGAGAAGCCATAATTTGGGAAGCACATGACGGTGGATTAGCTGGACATTTTAGACTGGATAAAACAGTTGATCTAGTAAAGGAGAACTTTTACTGGCCTTGACTTGAACGGGATGTCAACAGGCATATACAAAGATGCAGAATTTGTCACTTGGCTAAATCCAAGGGTCAGAATACCGGACTATACATGCCTCTGCCAATTCCAGAAGCACCGTGGGAAGATGTAACTATGGATTTTGTTCTAGGTTTACCACGGACTCAAAGGCAAAAAGATTCTATCATGGTAGTTGTGGATCGTTTCTAAAAAATGGCCCATTTCATCCCATGCCAGAAGACCAATGATGCTGTTCAAGTAGCAGACTTGTACTTTAAGGAGATTGTGCGTCTTTATGGCATTCCTAAAACTATCACTTCTGATCGTGATGTGAAGTTTCTTAGCCACTTTTGGTGGACGCTATGGAAGAAGATGGGAACTAAGCTCCAATTTAGCAGCGCTAGTCATCCCCAGACAGATGGTCAAACTGAAGCTATAAATAGAATTCTTGGTAATCTTCTTCGCAGTTTCGTGGGAAAGAATTTGAAGCAGTGGGATCTTATTCTTGCTCAAGTTGAGTTTGCTTATAATAACTCTGTCAATCAAGCAACTGGGAAGTGTCCATTTGAAGTTGTTTATGGCACTCGTCCCCTTAGTCCACTAGACTTGAGCCCTTCACTTGATAAGCAGCAATACAGCTTTGATGCTGACCAAAGGGCTAAGGAAATTAAGAAGTTGCATGAGCAAGTTCGCGAGCGAATCCAAAAGCAGAATTTGAGATACAAAGCTCAACGTGACAAGCATCGAAGACAGTAGACTTTTAAGATAGGAGATTTGGTTTGGATATATTACGAAAGGAACGATTTCCTAAACAGCCAAACACCAAGTTGTCTCCAAGAGCTGATGGTCCATTCAAGATAGTGCAAAGGATCAACAACAATGCTTACAAGGTGGAATTACCTGGTTCTTATGGTGTATCTGCCACCTTCAATGTCGCTGATTTATCTCCATACGTTGATGAAGATGATGAATTTGACTCGAGGGCCAGTTCTTCCCAACCCAAGGAGGATGAAATGAAAGAGCAGAATGAAACAGAAAGAGCAGAAACGAGCTGAAACGGAAGCAACACACACAATGAAGCAGAAAACGGGAGACACACATAATAGAGTATCATAAACTCTTTGTAACCGTCCCTTAATTTCTGTAACCCCCCTTTAAATTTGTATGATTCAGTTTCACGAATTCTAGGACTATAAACAGGACCTTGAGACTTGTGAAAGAGGTAGACTTCAGAGAATAAGAATTGCTTGTTGTTCATTCGGTTTCTGTGCCAGTGCAGGCTTTTATACACTGATGCGCGCTCATGAGGAATGAGGAACCTAAGACAAAAAGGAAAATTGGGAATACATGCTTCAGGCAACTGATGAGTGTCAACGTCGAAAGATTGCAAGAATCACAACAACAATGCTGGAGGATCATTTTCAAGTTGCCTAAAACCAAAAGCAAACTGCATGAGATACAAATTGATATATATATATATATATATATTTTAGGAACATCAGATACATAAACAGAGATACAGACCTAAGCACAGATTAGAATTGGCAGGGTCCGAGTCATTAAGGAATCTAGAGTTACCAACTTGGAGGGGCAAAATTTAAAACCATCAAGCATAAGGAGTAAAAACTAATTTTCACATTTTTTTGCAAAGAAAATTAAAAAAAAAATACAAAGGAACATCGCAGCTAGAGGGAAGGGTTGCACAGAAAACTAACAGGATAGGATTTCAACCTAACTCGAAGTCTAGTCTTCCTTATAGAAAGATTGGTTAAGAAAACTTGTAATTTGATCCTATCCAAGCATAATCCAAAGTTTAATAGGACTAGATTGATTTTGTAGAATTAAAAGACTAGTCTTGATATTTCAATATCTCTTTTTGTTTTCCCCCTTTTTTCCTTTATAAGTGTTGCAACAATTCATTTCAACTTGATAAACTCAATTAAGATAATAAAAATACTTATAATTATACAAAATTTATCACAAAACATTAAGAGTTAATCATCATAAATCCATAACAATCTCCAACAAAAAAAGTATTAAAACAATCTATTAAAACATTAAACAAACTTTAACATGTATAAACTACATTACAACAAAAAGTTAACAACAAAGTTTAACCAGTTCACATGCAATCATCTTTTCTAGTGTCAATTACACTTGACATATCTCCTCCAACATCAAGAACATGAGCCACCAAATCATATATCAAAAGAGCACAAGCATCACTAGAGGAGCAGCATGGCGAATGGTGGACGACATGAGAGAGGCTAGGGGTAGAAGACTGTTGGTTATTGCTTCTGTGCAACGTGAAGATGGAGTGAAGAGTGAATGAAGAGAAGAGAGGTAGAAAATTAGAGAATGAAGTGAGATGATGCATTTAATAATCAAGTCTTAAGTTTCACATTCAACTATATTAAAAATAAAAAAAATTATAATTACGTTTAAGTAATTTTATAAAATTGAACCAAATTAAGTGGTTTGAAATGTCAATTCCTTGCCTAATCCAAACTGAAAATGAAATTTGATCTTGTTAATCCTTTTAATTCTTTGGGTCACTTTTTCTACAAGACTAAATCGAATCAAATTTGCTCAAATTGAATTGAGTTGGATAAAATCATTAGACTTTTGCATAGCTCTAATAGGGGGCAAGCACCCCCTGCTTTCATCATTGCTCTGAGTACAACCCTAGAAGTCACTATGGGATGCATTGTTCTTCATTCAAACACAGCTATATTCATTAAAGGTATGGGTTCAAAGATCATTTATATTTTTCATGTGTCCAAATGGTCTTATCAAATTTTTATTCTTCAAATTGGAAAGTATTTGTGGATAATTCACTATCAAAGTTCTTATATCAACAACAAAATTTGAACTCATAATCTTATAAATTATGAGTTAAATCTTTATCTATTGAATTAACTTATTAATTTAATAATTTTACAGCAAATAATACTGTTTAAAATATGTGAAATATATTTGTATAAGTAATTACAAATAAATAATTATAATGATAAAAGTATAAATAACAATATTTTTTCATTCCTGAAGCATAAATAATTGTGACAGTCAAAGTGTAAACAACTATTATTATTATTATTATTATTATTATTATTATAAATAACTATTTTTATTCCCACGCATATTTAGTATTTAAAAGAGACAAGTAATTAACAATTTGCTTGAATGTGTAGTTTATTATCCTTAGTTATACTCAAAACAAAAACAATTTATTTATTCTAGAAATATATACTTTTTTATTTCCACAATAAATCTTTCAACCTCTATTACAGCTTAGTATATTTTATAATTTGCTATCACAAAGAATGTTAAAAATTTTTAAAATATATTTTATTCCAAAATTTATTATTCCTGTTATCTCATGTTTATTATCCTTTACAATTTATTATTTTTATGCATATAAAAAATATCAATGATAATTTATTTTATTTTATAATTATTTACTTAATACATGTTAGAAATATTAAAAAATTTTATTGAAATTTTTTCAGTGAGTTGTACACCTATTTTTTATAATTTATATAAATTAAATTTATAATTTTTTTACTTAATACATGTTAGAATATAAAAATATTGTATTTAAAATTTTTCAATGAGTCGTACACCTATTTTTTATAATTTATATAAATTAAATTTATAATTTCATAACATAACAGAGTCCATCATTTTTTTTAGTGTAAGTCTCATGTTTATCACCTCTTTTTTAAAAAAAAAAAAATTTGGGTACAATCGCTTGTTTTTTTAATACAATTCTATCACCTGTTTTCTTCACTCGGACCACCTATCTTTCTTTCATTTTTGGGCCACAGATATTAGATTTACACTTTTTTCATTATAGGCCCACGCTCTACTTCACTATAAAAATTTTCTTATAAAAAAGTGCAAATTAGTGAATTACCATAATTGCAATATACTAGAGTACATAGACAGATCACAGATTGTCGCTGCGTTGACCCCAAAAAACATTTTTAGTATCAGTCTGTAATTAAGATTGAGAATTGACGGACCCCAAAAAAAGTGTAATTAAGAGTTTGTTTGGATAATTATTAAGAGTTCGTTTTAGCCACATTTAAAATATATTTTTATTAAATTTAACAAATAATTTTATCCTCTGAATGAACTTCTGTACTACAGAGACTAAACACATGCTCCCTCTACTTTTATTTTTTAAAAAAATTATTATTTTTATTTATTTTTTTACATAAACAAAATTATATATTTTAATAAATATTTATTATATATTTTTTAAATTACCTCTCATAATTTATATTAATAAAAAATTAGTAATATATATTTATGTTAATTAATATAGTATATTTTAATTTAATTTTTTTATTTTTAAATATAATTATTATGAATAATTAATTTTTTAAATTATTTTTTATTTTAAATTATAAAATATTTTAAAATTTTTTTTAAATATAAAATATTTTAAATAAATTAATGTTTTATTAAATAATTTAATTTTAATATTATTTTTTTCTTTCTATAATTAATTTTTATCATTTTTTTATTATATTAAATAATAAATATTTAAAAAATTATAATTATTAAATATATTTAATAAAATTTATTAATATATAAAAATTTATTTAAAAATATTTTATAACATGGAAGGAGTATATAATATAATTTATATATTTATATATATATTTTATTGGCGGGAGTACTCAGAATTAAGAATATTCCGATGATTTCAAGGTCAGCGTGCTGAACCCGCTTTGAACTAGTTTCCTCTCCTCTTCTGTGCTTCATATCCAAGGAGGCAAAAGCAGAGAAGTTAGAACAAGTTCTCACCATGGAAGTAGTGCTTCACTCAGAACCTTCTCTCTCCCATTCTCATATGATCTTCACCAGCAAAACGCGAAACTTCACTCATGCCTGGGTTCAGCCATTTCAAAAACTCCGTATCAGAGATCGTGATCGGTGGATTGGACGAAAGCTTCGTTTTACAGTACAAGCTACATTGGATTCGGCCATTATCGAACAATTAGGGATTACGGAATTTGATATTAGGAATCCGGCTTTGTCTTCTTCGTATCGCAGTTCGGCATTGCCGAAACCGAATCAAACAGTCTTGGAAGCTCAAGCTAGGGTTTGTACTGGGCCTACACAGACCAGGCCGCTTGGAGAGGATCAGGCTTTTAAGGTTCTCGATACAATTTTAAGATCAGGTCATCATACCATCTACTTAATATATGTCCTTCGTTCCCGTTATTCACGACTATCGAGTGATGGATTACTCTCTAAAATTAAAGCAGCTTGGTTTGTTTGCGTGTTTTGATCTCAGCTAGGGGAGAGCTCAAAGATGAAGATAAAGTTTCTGGAGCACAACTTGGGGCATTTTTTGCTGGCATGACGATCCGTGCAAATGCCTTTCCTGAAGCAACCCAATGGAGTGAAGGAGAAACGCGGGCGATGAAGACGCTCTGGCCGCTTCTGGTTCGAGTGCTTCCATCTGATGTAATATTCATAGCTGATCCTGAAGGATCCATAATGGGGGTCGGAAGTTCTATTGGACCACAATATGTTGGAAATAGCACAAGTGAAATGAGATTGGTTGGTGCTCTCAGGGAAGTATTAGCCGGAGGCCATCTTGGATATGAGGAAGTCCAAGGAGTATTAAGAGAAGTTCTTCCCTTCAAGGATGGAGGAGAATCACAAGGAGTAAGTGATGCATTGCTATCAGCATTTTTAATTGGTCAACGTATGAACAGGGAGACTGACCGTGAACTAAAAGCATATTGTCTTGCATTTGATGATGAAAATGGTATAAGTTTTAGTCTCATTAGTCAACTTGAATTTGACTATAGTTCAATCATCACATTCTGAATTTTTATCAGCGCATTTCCGATCGTTAATGTTTTCATTTGTTTTCTAGGTCCCACTCCTGTTGCTGATGTCACATCTTTGACACATTATGGTGAACCTTATGATGGAAATACACGATTCTTCAGGAGCACATTATTTGTCTCTGCTGTTAGATCCTGCTATGGAGAATCTTGCTTGCTTCACGGAGTAGAATGGATGCCACCTAAAGTGTGTTTATTCTTTCTTTCTTTCTCTTTTTTGATGAGCTATTGTGTGTTTATTGTGCTCCTTCTTAGGATCTCAAGTTTGTTATTTCTATCACAAAACCAGGATGTTTTTACAGTCATTCTATTTTTGACATTTTCTCCTCAGAACTGACTACTGCGTGTGCTGATGCTGAAGAACATTTTGCTATTAATTTTTATAGTTCATATCTAATTATACTTGCCATGTTTCGTATTGAGGATCCTCTTATTTCACGAGTGCACTATCGTTGTTTGTTTTTCAGGGGGGTGTTAATGAAGAGCAAATGCTGAAGTATATGGGGGCTAATACCCACTTATCCCCATTGCAGGCCAAAAAACTTCTTGAGGTCTCTTTGATCCCTACAATATATGTAGCACAATGTTTTTCTCATTATCTTCTTTCAGCCTCCGTATATTATATCTTTGTGCTGGCTTTTTTCCAGGATGAAGAGGTTGGTTTTGCTTATATAAGTCAGCGTGAAGCTCACCCATCTCTGTAAGTTTATTTGGCCAACTTTATTAATATAACCCTTGTCTGTGCTGTTCATTTGTATAGCGACACTGGTCTTATCCTCCTGCAAGAAGAATGCATGCACTTCAAGAACTTGTGTCTCTGTGGTTGATTTTTGAAAATGTAGTTTGAAGATTACTTAATCATTATACAATTATTAACTGGTGTGTCTTCTTCATCTAGTGATGAAAGTGTAGATTAATGAGTGATCAGTGGCATTAGCTTTATAATGTCAAAAACCTTTATGGGACTATGTTTTGATAGTTTCTTCTCTCATAGTTAAAATTTTGAAGATAATTTTGGATTTTTTTTTTTTTTGAGACCTGTCAGGATTATTCAACTACTTGTGGATATCTGGCATATTCTGCTAACTTAAATTGCTATTTTTGCAAAGATTATTGTGGTATGCTTGTCTCCGTGTGTGTGGCCATAAGGATTGTGTTTAAGATGATGGTTGAACACACAAGTCTTTTCTGCAGCTACTCATTAATCGTTTTCTGCAGCTACTCATTAATCGGAATGAGGGAGCACATAAAAAAACGTCCTCCACTTGCAACAACTGAAAAGGTTCAGCAACTTGTAAAGGTGGGATCAGTATTTCTTTTGGCTGTGATGCTGGCAACTTTCTACTTTTTTTTCTTTGTTGTTCTCTATTGTATAACATTTTCTGCGAGGCTTTCTAGCCATAGCAAACCATCTAATTTCTAGCTGCACCAAGCATGTAGAGTTTTGTGGCAAATGATGGCATTTTGAAATTACTTTATTACTGACACATTTCATGATCGATATAATTTTGTTAAAGGCTATGCATTTTTAGTTTTTGACATTCATATATTGATAAATTCAATATATACAATGGTTTTAGTCCTTTTTTTTGGGATGGCCAGAATTCTTGTGTATTTGTAAACAGAGCTAAGACATGAAAGCATTGTCAGGCAAGGTTTTAAATGCATATTATATAACTATAGTTCTTTTGTTGTGGTTTTGCTAGTCAACTTTAGTAATTAGTAACACTGTCTTTTTTTTTTTCCTTTATAAATTTGATCTTTCAATGAAAATTTCCAGAAAATAGTTACTACAAAATTTCTTATTTTACTCATGGGCTTATGGTATGAGTTGAAAACATATAGATATATATGGCAATAATCCTGCCACTCAACTCCTGAAATAAAGCTGCCATAAGGCAGCAAAATCCTTGGGTGTAAAGAAGGGGGACATAGATGTTGATAACCGACAATAAATGACTTGATCAAACAACTATAAAAACAGAGAAACAAATGCATTATAAAACCTTATTACAATCGCAAAAAATGAGAAACAAAATAAGAAACATCATTAATCTAAAGAGACGATCACCAAAGAAAACACATAGGATTTGAGAGGGAATAGCATTCTGATGTTTCCAAAATGCATTTACAATCTCTTCCCTTAAAATTTCTCCTTTGATGCAGTTTTTTGGTGTTGAAATATCTTCTAAATCTGGGACAATACTATTATAGTAAGTTCAATTACCAGTTTCTTCATTGTCAGTTTATTTTAGACTATATAAATTGTGGAAACTCAGTTTTAAAAAATTAAAATTTAGAAACTCTTCTTGATCCATTTGACTTTCCTCAATATTCCTTAGCAGCCTTCTTACTCTATTCGGATTATCCTTAATTTTTTTCTCCATTGATGCAGCTTCTTGGGGTCGACATACTTTCTAAATCAAGCACAGTACAAATATATCAAGCTTAGACACTAGTTTCTTTATTGTCAGCTCATTTTATAGAGAGTATATAAGTTGTGAAAACTTGGTTTCTAATAATTAACATTGGAAAATAAAAATGATGAGCAATGGGTTGATCAAGATAAAATATTTTGACTGTGAATTCTGACAGTAGGAACTGAATTGGATAAACCAAAGTGGTATAAAACATGGCTTGTTTTTCCTTCTTTCTGAAAAATATCACCATTTGTTTATATGTTTGTTGGTTTTCAATAGGCTCGTGGCAGGGATGCGATTGTTGCTGGGTTTTATCATGAGGGTTATGAAGAGCCATTGTTAATGCTCATGAAAAGAAGGGGTGTTCATTCTGGTTTGGTGGTGAAGGTTGGGATTTCACCTTTAATATATCATGAATTGAGCATTTCCATATAGCGTTTTTATGAATAAACTTTTTGTTGAAGTATATAAACAATTTGATTCTCCTCTTACTCAAAATGATTAAATCATTTTAATATATCAAAAAACCTTACAAAAGAAGCTACTTCACATATACTGTGGATATTCAAATTGCAGGGTGAGGAAGGTGCCCTCTCAATGACAACAAGGTTGAGGTCAGTTAGCACAACTAAAGGACTTCCTGTGAACTATTGTTCAGGGTTCCGCTCGCTGAACATTTCATCTACATCTGAACTTGGTGGTCTGTGTTTATTTTTTTTTTTTTTTTTGGGCCGAATCGTTTAGTTGTCATGTTTATTTTAAGGCTTGAAATACTAATTGATTAGAATGCCTGTTTGTATGTATGTATGTATATATATATTTTGGTTTTCTAAATGTTTAACTTGATGATAAATTTTTACTATTCAGAATACTATTTGGCTTAATGGTACTTTGGTCCACTCTTTATAGTGGACTGATGTAAAACATTGATATTTCTTATTGCAGGAGTCTCACGTCAAGTTTTTACTCTTGAGGTCAATGCCCAAGACTATGGTTTTCAACCAACAGATACTCCGAGAACTGATAGATCGGTAGAGTTCTTGATGTTAAACTTTTTATATTAAGTATGTTTGAGGGTAGTGTACTTTATTAAATTAGCTTAAGTTATTTGGTTAAATACGTCCTAAGTTTTATATATTATTAATCTATCTTCTATCTTCTAGATGTGAGACTTTTGATTTTTTATCTCTAATATTCCCTCTATTACATTTCTTTTTTTTCCCCCTCAATTGTTTTTATTCATTTTTTCCTTCTTCTTGTTTAGGCTTGTACTTTTTTTTTAATCTCAGAGGCCTTATATCTATTCATCTTCTTCTCCTATCTTTCTTTTTGATCTCTCTCTTTCTTTTCCCCATCTTTCACTCTCTCTCTCTCTCTATATATATATATTGAATGGCTCATGATACCATGTTAAATTTTTTATATTAAATATGCTTAAGGATAATCTATTTCACCAAAATAACTTAAGCCATTTGGTTAGACACATCCTAAGCTTTATATATTTTTAATCTATTTTTGTGATTATTGTCTCTCTTCCATTCTATGTTATGCTTTCATCTGGTGTTTACTAGAAGTTACCCATATTTCATTTTCCCTAGCATCTAAATTGTTCCAATTTTATGGAATGACCCCAGAGAGACTTCATTTTCCATGGCAGTGTGTTTAAAATTTTGCTTTGCTTGCCAATTTTTTTCTTTTGTTACCTTTCCTGGTCTCCAGATCATCCAACTGCATTTGGTTGTTTATTTGTTGACTGAACTTGTTATATGCTTCTCAGTGCTCTAACTTGTCTCCTACCCCTGTCTGCATAAATATGGGAGTGTTACTAATTGTGACGTGTGAGAAGTTGCGTGAAATTGAACTAAAAAAATGTTATATGGATAAACAGATGGTTTCCATTTCTGAGCGATAATATAGTTCCGCGAGGTATTGTCCAGTGAGCTTTCTTTCCACAATCAGCAAGTATAATTTTTGAAAATTGCAATGTACTTATTTTATTCCATAACTTGCGTATCACTATGTTAGTAACAACCTTAACCCCTTGCGCATTCCTGCATTATTATTAATTTTTTAAGAATATATGAAGTAGCCCAAAAGGTTGAGTCTTTTGACCAGTATAATTTGAACTTAGCCATTTGTGATACTTAGACTGATTTTTTTTTTTTTTGGTTGCCTGTTTCCTAATTGCTAGAATAAGTGCTGAAGCCTATGACTTCTAATCGTTTCTGAAAATTTAGGTCTCGAAGAACATTGAATTGGGTTTAGCAGCTCTTGGTGGAGAAAAGGGTCCAGCATATGATCGAATTGTCTTAAACGCTGGTATGGTGGACCACTTGCTTGGAGTTGATGGTGCTGAAGACATATCCGTGGCCCTAGATAGAGCAAGAGAGGCCATTGACAGTGGTAATGCTCTTAAACGGCTCTTAAACTATATTAAGATTTCCCACAAAGTGGATTAAACTAGCCCCGGCTGGTAGAGGTACATGTCATTTGCAATGCTCTTGATATGGTGATCATGGTTGGAAGAGGAAGCAAAATTGTCAGATGGATAAACCTTAATCCAAAATATGGACGAAGGAAAGGAAGCATTAAAAGGGAAGGGGAAGTGAGAGATACAAAGACTCAGTTCTTTAACACGTCATTCTGTACTTCACGTTACCCTTTGTATAGATATACCTCATGACAAGGAATCACGAGTGGTTTTGAGCCTTAATGAACTGCCAGGTAGCATTGTCATAAAGTACTAAAAACGTCGTACAGTCTTTTTTTATCTTTTTTTCTTTCTTTGGTGATAACTTCATACAGTCAATTTTTGGATATTCTCGTGTTAGACGGTTCTTCGTGAAAAGACTGTAAAGATTTGTAATTTCTTCCTGGATTTGCTCATACACATTGAAGCTTTGTTTTGATTATATGGGGATTGGATTTTTCTTTTCTTTTTTCTTTTAATCTTTACTCACGTTTTACTCGTAGGCCTGTTTGGTCGCAGGTATTGGGAGGTTCTTATTGAGAAAGCCCATTTTGTGTTTGGTATGAGTCCATGAGCAATCATTGGGACTATTTAATCCCGCGAATGGAATTATGCAAACATGGTCTATTTTGACTAACATGGTTGAACTAATTAGAAGAATAAACAAAGTTTAATTTCTGATTTAGTTCATTGAGAAGAGATTGTGTTCATTTATTAGATTTGGGCTCATCACCCTCACATCTTGTATTTTGTGTTTTTTTTTTTTTTTTTTTGCTTTTAACTGGTATGAATCCACTAACGCTAACAAAGTGATGTAGATGATTGATGTTGCAAGGTTTTTTGGAGTAAGATGCTATACAAGTAAAATAAATTTATCATAATATATGCAAAACTATTTATCAGGTAGATGAAATTGATTCTCATATAGGCAATCTTGATTTAGCACGCAAAACGATCCTCCTCTGTCCCATACATGAGCATCGATATTATCTATAGTATCCTGGTTTTTTTTTTTAATAAAAAGATCAATATATAAATATATAAGTAAATAAAAAAGTTGTAAGGATAAAGTCGCCACTGATAAAGTATTAAAAAGGACATTAAGTGGCTGATTATCAAAGAGAAAAAAGAAGAGAGAAGACATTAAGTGGCCATCAATATTTTTTAACAGAAACTGATGCTTCTCCGAAACCATTGAGGAGAGAAATAATGTCTCCCTTGAGCAGATCATGGAAGAATCTTGATAAATAGTCTTCACTGTGTAGTATTTTGGTAATTTTTTTTAAAATTGTTAATAGCGTGTTACTCAAAAGACCTGTTTGCAAGGTATTGGGAATTTGTGACTACTGAATCTTTTTTATTAGATGTATGGTGTTGTGTGTGTGTGTTTTTCCCCCCTATTCTATCATTCAGTATTCTCAATGTGTATAATTGTTATTACCAACAACAGCTTTACAAGTGCGTTGGAAATGTCTTAGATATATTTATTTAATATAACTGCTTATTATATACGCAAATTCAATATCACAGGCTAAACTGATTTAACTCTCTCCATCAATTGAATCAAACACCCATCGATAATATATGTTATTACTATGTATGTATATTTCTATGACTTGTTACTTTAAATAATGTGTGTGTGTATGAATGTTTTTGGAGGATAAAAATGGGAAATGACACTTTTAAGACCTAATAAAAAAATTATCATATTTTAAAATTCTAAAATCGCAAAATGTCAATCAAGAAATTTAGTTTTTCACTGACATTTAAAACATGCCAATTGAGAAAAATACCCCTATACACATCCAACCTAGACATTCTAGAAATTAAGTTGAAAGTTCTGACGGTATAAGTTGAAATAATTTCCAACTAATTATTTGTCATATTCATTGTCTAATTTTGAAAATTGCAGATGCTAAGTCGAAAGAAAATAATATATTCACATTGAAAATACTAGAAGAATAAAGTTAAAAAATTTCATTAACTGAAAATAATTTTGATTGAAACTTTTTTAAAAAATCAACTTCTGCGTGAATATAAACATTTTTGCTTATTGACTTATTTAAAACAGCAGTGAAGTAATAATGAATGAAAATTCTTAATTGACATTTTAAAATTTAAGAGTTGTAAGATATCATTATCCTATATTTAGTTCCTAAATGTTATTTTTCAAAAAAGAAAAGAGCAAAGACAGATTTCATTTTCTAATTTGTTTCTATTTTGTCCCCCGTGGGTCATCTACTCATCACTTTACTTTCGTTCGGTATGAGAGAAAATGACATAATTTACACATAATAAAAAAACTTAATTATTTAGTTATATATTTAATATATTTTTATTTAATTAAATTTAAGCAGAGAGATTTTAAAGTATTAATAACAAAATAAATGCTCTATAAAAATTTTTGTGATTTAATTAAAAATACACATAACTATTATCTTCATTAAAAAATGTAAAACATTTTTTAAAAGGTTAAAAATTTAAAAATATAAAATATTTTTAATTTTTTAAATGTAATTATTATTTTTTAAAAAGTATTTTTCTAAATATATTAACTTTTATTTTTTTATAATAAAATATTTTATTAAATAAAAATATAAAAAATAAAATTAATTTAAAAATAAATAATTATTTTATTAAAGTATAAAATTTGATTAAAAATATTTTATATAGTTGAATAAAAGAAGTACGTATATGAGGATTTTTATTTACATGATCAATTTCCTTCTCTTCATCCTGCCAGAGGCACAAGCAAAATTGCTCTCTTCATCTTCACGAGTCACGACCTGAGCGGGGAAGGTTAAAACTTAAAAAGGAGAAAAGCTGAGCCGCAGTTGGTTTGTGGCTTTGTGCAGAGAGGAAAAGCTGATAAACAAATAGGAGCCACTCCTCTAATAGAGAAAGTGACATAAATATTTGTCGAGCAGCGAGGCCATGGCTCTTTTATCTCTCAGGAGACTTTTGGCCACATTTCTTGCTCCAGCATTATCCCTTCCATTTTGATATAGAGACTCCAATAATCCATTCAAATCATTCAGTGGTTCTGCTTCTGCCAAATTTTGTACACTTACTGCCACTCCCAAATAAAAACACGTTCTTTTTTCTCAATTATACAAATAGAAAAAGGTCTCTCTCCCGTCAGACACGCATAACAACGCTCTATACTACTGCGTTGGGTTTCTTGCTGGACATTACAAGCGACTCTAAGCGAACCTCGCAGGTAACATTTTGCTGTGAGAAAGCTATGAAGCAAACCTTTTGCCTTTTCCTTGAACTGGGTTTGTATTTTGTTCTCTTAAACTTGAAGGGTTCGTTCAGGATTCTGGTTTGGAGTGGCTGAACTCTGTTATGGGTTGACTTTCATTTTCTTGGGCGCGTATCATTGTGTACTGGATATTCTAGTTTCTGTGATTATGTAATTATGTCATCGAAGTCATGTACCGTCGTTCTGTTATAGGTTCAATCTGAAAAGTGAAATTTTGACGAGTTCAGTCTGTTCTATAATATTAACGTGTAAAGGGCTACCTTCTCCGTGTTTATTTTGTAGAGTATATCTGAACTAATGGGATTTATTTCTATAACCTATGGGATTCTGACGAGTCTTGTATGGAAGGTACGGGGACTATATGGGACTTGACTTTAGGGATTCGATCGAGTCTTGAATGAAATTTGGATTCTCTAAGGTGGCTTTTGTGGTACAACTCTCCCAGAAGTTCTTATCCATGGCAGGGGAGCACGTATACCTATATAGGTAGCGGATACAATACTAACATGTATGCAACAACGTGATAAATTCTAAGATGTCTAATATGCTACCTCCGGGCCAATTTATATTTTAACTGTAAGCTGTTTTTTCATAAATAGGAGTTAGTATATGTGAAGTATTGTGTCGTGTCTAATTTGAAAGTCCTACATGTTTTGAATAAAGACACACTACGTTTTTTATCTTGGTAAAAAAGGCCTTGCACTACCTGTCATGAGTTCATCCTCGTTCTTTCTTCCTCTCATGAGCTAATGAGATGTACAAGTTAGAGGACATGGGGAAATGTAATGACTTGGTTGCAAATATGGGGCTTGAGTCCCATGTTTAAATTATAAGACTTTGATGTGAACTTGTATAAACCTTGTTTTATCCAACTTCATGAGCCAGCGTTTTGAGCTCTCAAATAATCATATAATTTCTATGTTATTGTTAATTTGTTACAGTTATGTTTGTTCCACTAAATTGAATGTACTATTCGTTTTCAGACATAGCAAACTCTTATCTTTGATGATGCTGTGATTTGAAAAGAGAATAAAATTCAATAAAAGTCCAATCATGAAACTCTGCATCTTGCATTCCCATGTTTACTTCACCAATTAGCTTGAGTTCTGTCACTAAGCATGTTCCTGAATTATAACATTTTACATGTTAAAAAATATATTTTATCTGAGGGCTCTTTTCTTCTTTACCTTTCTTCCCCAATGAGCTTTAAATCAATCAGGTTGGCAGCGGGCTTTATTTGTAGCCAATTTTTTTGGCTTCTTATCTAGTGACATCTGCAAGAAGTCTTCTACTCCACCATGCCTCCAAGACCCTTAGACTATGAGTCTATTAATGAAAATGTGAAGAGAGCTCAATATGCTGTTAGAGGTGAATTATATCTTCGAGCTTCTGAGCTTCAGAAAGAAGGGAAGAAGGTTTAGAGTATATCATATTCTTGAGCAAACTTAAGCTTTTGGATAAAATGATCTTAATGGATATAAACTCCTCTTATTTTAAATATTTTGGCAGATTATATTCACTAATGTTGGCAACCCTCAGGCTCTAGGACAGAGACCTCTGACCTTCCCTCGTCAGGTCCACTGTTTGTACCATATTTTCTTCCTTCAATTGCTATCTTGTAGTTTTCTTGGTATCAAGAACTAAACGTACTTCTTATTTAATTATATAGTTAGAGTGTCAGACTTTGGTACTTGTTACTTATGCTGAACCAGAGTAATTCTGCTGTTGCAGGTTGTTGCTCTGTGCCAGGCTCCATTTTTACTAGATGATCCCAATGTTGGATTGCTGTTCCCCGCAGATGCAATTGCAAGAGCTAAACATTATCTATCAATGACCTCGGGAGGTCTAGGTATTGTTTTCTTAAGTACTTTTCAATATTTTATGCCTAACTGTATATTCAAAATAGCATGTTAGAGTTTTATACAATCTGTTTATCTTTGAAATTCTTGCATGGAAATCTTCATTTCTTTATGAAGTTATTAATATTTCAATTACAAACAACCCATGTGAAAAAATTCTGTGATATTCAGATAACTGGCATTTTTCAACTTCTTAAAAAAATGTAAAATCCTCACAAGTTAAAAAGCAATTTTCCAAATAATGATCCTGGAGCCAATGTGAACATTGTGTGCTGAACATAGATTCTATAATTTTCTTCAATGTATTTTTATTTCTAGTAAGAATTCTGGATTTATTGACCCACTGCTGCAGTATGATCCTAGAACTAATGTAGCATTTATATCTATTATCCAATTTTTCCTGTGAAGTTTCCTTCATTTTCCTTGCCCAAGGATCATAAATCAATTTTCAGCTCAAATGAAAAAGAAATTGATTCAGAAATTAGGTTGCACTAGCAGAATATAGGGGAATTTCATAGTTAAGCAAGCTCTTGCCTGCAAATGAAAGGCTTAATTACCAATACCATTGAGTTTCTCTCAATTTCTCTTAATAGGTTCATGTGTTAGGAATTTTGTTTTTGACACAAACCTCCACTAAAAAACTGTAGAACTTATTGTATATTCTAGGTGCTTACAGTGACTCCCGAGGCCTTCCAGGAGTAAGGAAGGAAGTGGCAGAGTTCATTCAAAGGCGTGATGGTTATCCTAGGTAATTATCCTCCGTGCTAGCTCCATTTTTTTGGCTTCATACTTTTTAGGGGTTCTCAAGTCTAGTTTGCTATTTGTTAGGTAATGGATTAATTACTTCTTGCTTAATTGACAGCGATCCAGAGCTTATATATCTCACTGACGGTGCCAGCAAAGGTGTGATGCAGATCCTAAATACTATCATCCGAGGTCAATCAGATGGGGTAATGCATATGGTCTATTTCTTAGCATGTCTCTTTTGATGTTTCCTGTATTCACAGTGCCATTTCAAACTATCTTCCGACACTTTCTTTTCCCAGGTTTTGGTTCCTGTCCCACAATACCCACTATACTCAGCAACAATTGCTCTCTTTGGTGGTTCTCTTGTTCCCTACTACCTTGAAGAGACAGCAAATTGGGGTCTTGATATTAATGAACTTCGTCAGGCAGTTTCACAGGCTCGCTATAAAGGAATAACTGTATGTGTTTCACAGACTTGTTGATATGAAGGCCATGAACCTTCTCATAGTGAATTCATTTGTTTCCCAATCCAGTTTTCTTGTTCTTCTTGAAATGACAACCCAAAATGACTGGGCTGGTTGTTTCATCACCAGAGAAGGCAGGGGAAAAGACACTAAACATAAATGGTTCATTTATGAATTACCTCTTCAAGTGCAATTCTAAAATGTTTCTACTGTTTCTTGTGACTTTTCAGTCACCAAATCACTTCATGATGATCCAGTCTACTGGATTCAAAGATTCAACATTAAATTCAAGTGCTTCTGATTTATCAAAATCTCCTCTTATCCTTTTATGTAATTCCTTATCATACTAATTAAATATAAAAACTGAAATTTGATCAGGTAAGGGCAATGGTGATCATAAACCCTGGAAACCCAACTGGTCAATGCGTTAATGAAGCTAATCTAAGAGAGATTTTGCAATTTTGTTACCAAGAAAATCTAGTCTTGCTTGGAGATGAGGTTTACCAGCAGAATATATATCAGGATGAACGACCTTTCATCAGTTCTAAAAAGGTATACATTGTCATGCTAATCTCATGTTTTGCCTCTGATGTTAAATTGAGCAAATACTAAATATTCATTTGACACAAGTAGGTTTTGATGGATATGGGGCCACCTATGAGCAAGGAACTCCAGCTTGTCTCTTTTCATTCTGTGTCCAAAGGATATTGGGGTGAATGCGGACAGCGGGGTGGATATTTTGAAATGACCAATATTCCTCCAGAGGTTTGTCTTTTAATAACTCTTTTTATACTTTGCAACTTCGCTATCTGTAAAACTTAGAATGAATTGGCCCATAAGACAAGGCCTTAAGTTCAAACTCATATGGTCAACCCACAGCCCTAAAATGACTAGTCTAGCATAATGAAATGGCTTGTACAGCCTGGTTTTCTAAAAGCTCAGAGCGTTTAAGAGCCAGGATAGCCCTATTTGACTCTTTAGTGACTTTCCATCTTTAATGTAAGATTTACCTTCAGTTTACAATGTATCTACACTGCTGATACTTTTTCCTTGATTCTTCCTTTTTGTTTTTCTGCAGACAGTGGATGAGATTTATAAAGTTGCATCCGTGTCACTCAGTCCAAATGTTCCAGCACAGATATTTGTGAGTCGGAGCTGCATGTTTAACGTTATGATATTTCTTTATGAATTCAGTATTTGTTCGCATTATAACTAGCATTTATCTCCCTTCCATTCCTTTCCTTCAATTTCCACCTTGCATTGCAGATGGGATTGATGGTCAACCCGCCCAAACCCGGTGACATCTCTTATGAACAATTTGTTAGGGAAGGGTAAGTTATGCTTAAACTAAGCTGCTAGATGTTGATATTTTTGTCATGTTGACTCATTTTCTCTTTCAATATATATGAACATGGGAAGCAGATTGCCACTTGCCCAAAGTCTTAAGACATTTACATAATGGCCTCTTTAAGCTATGAACTGACCATTATTATAAAAATATGCAGCAAGGGAATACTTGATTCACTGAGGAGAAGAGCAAGGTTAATGACTGATGGATTCAACAGCTGCAGAAATGTTGTTTGTAATTTCACAGAAGGTATGGACTGTACACAAATGAATGTATAAAAATATGGACTGTACACAAATGAATGTATACTTCCAGAAACTTTTTTTGGCCTGGTAAGCTAATACGTAGATGAATACCTTTGTGTTCAGGTGCCATGTATTCATTCCCTCAAATTAGATTGCCACCTAGGGCAATAGAGGCTGCAAAACAAGCTGGAAAGGTTCCAGATGTATTCTACTGTCTCAAGCTTCTGGAAGCCACTGGCATATCCACAGTTCCTGGTTCGGGATTCGGGCAGAAAGAAGGGTACAGATTTTTCTATATTTTACCTCTATTTTTCCTCTAATAAAGATGTTGATAAAACCAACCATAAAGCTTTACTTAAAGTTCAAACTTTTGAGTTGAGATAAAATGCTTCTTAACATTACAAAGTGGTCTAGATAGTAATCCCTACCACTATTTTCAACACCATGTATGCTTAGCTTGTGTTTATTCACATCTCTCGTGTACCTACTTGTCTTCTAAAGTGAAAATGTGATTTAACTGTCAGTTATGAAATCGGCACAGAATTAGTCCTCCGCGGTCACACTCCTTCCAATTTTATTTATAAGGCAAAGAGAGGAGATTTTTTTTAATTCTATTTGTAATTTATATCATTAAATTTTTATTACAAATTTTCTCCTTTACCCTCCATTAAATGATAACAAGAGAAGGTGCACTACTAAAGCATGTATATTTAATGAGTTGTAAGGTTTTCTTTGATTCTGATAAAACATATTAAAAGTAACTTATAAATAAGATCAGAAGGGTATATAATAAAATCTCCTACTATAAAGTCTGTAGATTTAGTGACAAATTACATGTTTCTAAAACAAGCCTTATGAATAAAGAAGAGAGATTCCACTGTTGCCCTGTTTCTTATAAAAGCTATTTAACTCATGATAGGGTCTTCCATTTGAGGACAACAATTTTACCAGCAGAGGAAGAGATGCCTGGCATTATGTCAAGCTTCAAGAAGTTCAATGATGAGTTCATGGAGCAGTATGAAGACCATAGAGGTTATTCAAGGATGTAATCAAGCATATCATTGTGAAAATTTGTATTAAATCTCTCACTAAATCTTTTGTGACAGTAAGCTTTTCTTTTCATACACTTGTAAAACTTAACCTCCTCTACACTACATGAGGCAACCTTTATCTGTTGGCAATGATTCTCTTACTACTTCATCATCTTTATCATCCGTCAACTGTGTATTTTGTTTCAAGCGAGTCTGGCCTCTAGCAGAGTTTTTAAATGGTGTGGCAAAAATATATACTCCATCCGGTCCCTCTATCTATCATAGGGCACTTTCTAGAAAGGTTTTTTGATCCTTAATATAAGATACAGAGAGAATAATTTATTATCATTTTTCAATGTTATCTCTATTGTAAATTGAATTTTATGACTTATCATATAATGTGTATCTCTGTTCTTATTTTTAAAAAGGGTAAAGTTGGAAAATTTTCATTTTAAAACATATTAAATGAGTTAGTTGTTATATTTTGATTCCCCTAAAGTAATTAAAAGCATCTTCTAATTTTAATAGAGATTGAATGAAGTTTTAAGCGTGAAAGTTCTCATTCTTAAATTCAGTTGGTAGGAAGGGATTGGACCGTTGTGTAAATTGGCTAGTGATCCAAATCTATGAGATGATAGATGAGTTCATGGTGTCCATGGACCAACTCCAAAGTGCGAGACCATATTATATTTAGACTTGTATAGCAAGCTTAGGCTTCAGCATTTCTTATTCCATTTTTAAATGACTCATTTTCATGCGTAGATTGAATCAATTATACATAAACGTTAAGCATATTTAATGTTTATCTTAATAAAAAGTACACTAGACTTGTTAATGTTATACCCAAGGCTCCAAACTCATCTCCATGCTACAAAATTAATGGAAGTTAATGACAAAAAAAAAAGTATATTTAAATATGCAAATGACAATAAATTCCTGCAAAATATATAATTTTTCAAATCTCAAGACCTTTATGGTATTAATGTCTTTTATGAAATGACTATAATGTCCTCAAGTATAAATTAATAACTACTTTAATTTAAGTAATGATCACTTTTATTTATGAAATATCTAAAATAGGATATCAAATGACAAATTTCGTTCTGCATATTTTTAAGAAAAAATTACATCTAGATCTCACAGAAAAAATTTATTATCAAAAGATTTTATGAAACTTACAAAATATTTTCAAGTCTCAAATTTTATACACGTACAACTTGGGTAAGGGCATTTACAATTAGACAACGGGCATTTACAACTTGCTATTATAATTTGTCATTTTCTTTTGCAAGTTATAAATGTCTATTGTCTAATTATAAATGTCCTTGCCTAAATTGTAAATACACAGGATTTGAGATTTAAAAATATTTTGTGAATTTCATGAGAACTTTTGATAATAAATTCTCTATAAGACCTAGATATGATTTTCTCATTTTTTTAATCACTAAAGTTCAAATGTTATAAATATCAGTAACTATTTTAATTTAAATAATTATTTTTTTTAATAATAATTGAAATGGAATAAATAATTACAACCTCCCCTCTGCAAATTTTTTAATCATTAAAATCTAATTATTGTAAATATCAACAACTATTGTATTTTAAGTAACAACTAATTTTCTTCTCACAGAGACAAAAACGAGGTAGCAAATAACAAGTCCTATTCTACAAATATTTTAATCATTAATCCATTTATTTTTAATTTTAAATTAGGGTCATTATAATCATTTCATGAAAGATATTAGTCAAAAAAATTCGAAAGGATTTGAGATAAATTAACATATTTTGTGAAAATTCATTATTATTTATATATTTCATGAGATTTTTCTGTCACTTTCTCAAATTTAAATCTTAATAAATTGTAGCGTCGAAAATTACGGCCTGAAATAGATTTGAATACAGTTAAAACAGGATTGTACAGGTCATGATTTTTAGGACAGATATTCTTCCTTCTAGATACTGTATCTGCTCTGTGCTCTGGTCATGGAATACGTCATTTGGCGTGAAGGACGACACATTGAAGAACTGCTTTTTCCGGTCATCACAGCTAATGGCATGGAGAAGAGTCTTTCATTTTTTTTCCTTCATTTTTTTTATTTTTTCAATTCTTATCAGTTAAATTATTTTATTAAATAATTTTTTAAATAATAAAATTAATGAATAGTAAAGATGAAAAAAATAAATGAAAAAAAATAAAAGAAACAGAAGTGAAGAGATTCCGAATTTGAATGGAACCAATATATCCAGTGGGGTAAAAAAATTTGGATAAAAAATTGGGGAGAAAGTACTGAGCATTTAAAATTGAGAAAATCATTGCAAAGTTTCTTGTAAGGTTCTAGTTACTAGAAAGATCCCAGAAAATGAATAAATTACACTCAAATCACAATTTAGGATCATTAAATACCATTTATTTCTATGCAGATCAAATAATTCTTATCTTTCTTCACAGGATCAATAGATTTAAATATAATTAAAATTTGTTGTGAGAAGAAACCATCACTCAAATATATATATATATATATATAAAGTTGTGAAGAAGGAATTAATTATTTTTAAAATAAAAATGAAATTTATTTTTTAATAGAAATTTATTCACTAGATTACAACATTTTTTCTATAATCATTTAGTTAATATCTTGAAGTTGTTAATGAAAAAATTAATTGTTGTTAAAATAAAAATAAAATTTTTTTAATGAAAACTTGTTCACCGAATTATAACACTTGTTTCTCTTTATCATCAAGTTAATTTTTTAAAATTATTAATGAGAGAATTAATTGTCATTAAAAGAAAAACATAACTTGATTTTTTTTAAATCAAAATCTGTTGTTAAGAGAGTTTATGTATATAGGAGGGATAATTTTATTTTTATAATAAATTTTAATTATATTTAGATTCCTCGCTCTTGCAAGCACTATCAAAATTATTTTGCCATGCAGATTGCGGAGTAATGAATGTCGCTTAGTGGTCTTGTTATGACATTCCCAATTATTTATTTATTAATAAATTTTATGTATATCTCATCAAAAAAATTTATAATCTTTTGTTAAAAAATATAAAATATTTTTAATCGAGTCTTACTCTTAATAAAATAGTTATCTACTTTCTAACTAACTCTATCTTTTTATATTTACCTGTATTAAATATTTTAAAATAAATATAAAGTTATTATTAATAGGGACACTTTAAAAAAAAAATGATTATATCTCAAAAGACTAAAAATATCTTATATTTTTAAACATCTAACTCATTAAAAAATGTCTTTAATAGAGGGAATATATAATTACTAAAATATCATTATTTTATTTTAAAATAAATAGTCAAGCCATCCACCACCTGTCGCTGGTCCGAACAGTCCCCAACATCATCCGACCGGCCATTATAGCTCCGGCAATTGGCAGTGGATGGGTTGATTTTTTAAAGAAATCAGCAGAATAAAAATATTTTGGTATTTATGCATGAAATTTAATAATAAATAAAAATTTGAAACTTAAGGATAATTTATAAATTTCATGAAACTTTATGTAAATAGAAATTCAGAATCATCTGAGGGAGTTTGTAGTGATTTTCTTTTAAAAAAAATTGAAAGTGGGCATGGATTTGAGTTTCAAGAATTATCAATATAAATTTTTAAAATGTCTTAAAACTCGGTTGCATATTTTAGAATCTGAAAAGCTGTTTAAGTATCGTATTGATCATTCCTCACTTTTTTTTTTTTTACCCATTTCATATGTTAACACAATTTTTTCCTACATTAATAATCACATTATATCTAATTGACCAACAAATAGGTCAACTGGACAACCAAACGCTAAGGGATTGAAGAAAGATTCCAACCATGTGAAAAACAACATTTATAGGATAAATTCCTGGATTATAAAAAAAAAAAATAATGCTTTGTAGTTGGTAGGCTTCATCACTTTAAATTAAAGTTGAACAACTGGATTGGAATAAATTGAAAAGTAGTGGAAGTCTGAAAGTAAAAGAATTTTTAAATATGTTTTGCCTGTAAAACATTGGAGATGCTGTTGAGTTTACAAGAATATCCCAACTCAAGATTAAAAAAAAAAAAAAATACAAGTCTGCAATTACATCCTTGAAGCAAGAATCTCATCATAGATGGAAGTAAAATATACAACAACATCAATAATATGCTTTGAAATGTGAGATCATAATTACAAAGAAAACGACAATAATATTGTGATATTAACTATTACGTATTATGACCAATTAAAGTCAATATGAATGGTAAAAATTATCATTATTTAAATAAGTACATGGTTGGAGGTTTGAAATCACAATCTCTATATATGTAATAATTTAATTAGAAAATATTACTTTCGATGAGAGAGATAATCTTTATTATTGACAAAATCTACTCCTTATGCTTACCTAAACAAATTATTAAGAGCTATGCAATAAAAAACATGGCATTAAGTTTGTAAAAAAAAAAAACATGGGATTAATCAATAAACTTATATATGGAAATCAAGGCGGTAGTATTAATTAATTATTGTCAACTTTAATTTACTCTTATTTTATTTAACGTGAGCTACATAATGTGCTCTATAACTTCAGGGAGCAGGGGAAAGGTTCACATTTTGATTAATTAATAAATTTAATTTTAGATTATAATTTTTATTATTGGCCAAGCCTGCTTCTTATAAATAAAAAAAGAAAGAAATTTGTCACCATGTGAGTAAAACAATTCGAACATTGTGCTAATTAAAGCTCAAATTCTTTAGCGTGATTTTGAAAGGAAGCTCAATTTAGTTGCAAGAATAAACTTGTATATTTTGTTTAGTATAATTATAATTTTTAACCAAACTTTACCTCTTAATAAAATAGTTACCTACTTTTAAATTAACTCTATCTTTTTATATTTATCTCTATTAAATACCTCACAACAAATATGAAATTATTATCAATAGGGGTACTTAAAAAAAAGGTAATGATTAGTTCAAAAAATTAAAAATGTCTTATATTTTTTAACATCTAATTCTTTAAAAAAAATTTTATATTTTTTAATAGAGGGAATATACACGTGTGTATTTTGTAATTAATAAATTATTTTATGATACAATTCATGAGAGATAACAGTATAGAAAAGGAGCATCATGTACATCATTAAAAATGAGAGGAGATATAAAATTGTTGCCGTGCATCATATACAAGAAGACTTGCTCCCTCGTTTGACATTATAAAACAATTTTAATTGAATTATATTTTCAAAAAATTAATTAATTATTTGTAAAAGTATACATTTTTTTATGTTTTACTTTGTTTAATAGGATGCTTCAATTAAAAAATTTTATTAGTTACAACTCTAATTAAAGATATTTTTTAAATAAATTATTAATTACATTGTGAAAGATTCAAAATTCTTTATATTTTTTTAACATTTCACCTAAAAAAAATCTTTATATTTTTTAAGGGTGGGAGTAATTAGCTTAAATTTTAACTCGGGAGAATGAATCAAGTTCACAAGATTAAATCAATGATAATTAAATTTTTAAAATTTTGTTAAAAAATAAATTAAAAATATTCAAATAATTACAAATTTAAAAATTTTAATTACAAATAATATATTTATATTTTAAATGAAACTTTTAAATTATAAATAAATTTTTTTATAATTATTTAAATTAATATTTATGATTCATTTTATAAAAAATGTGATGATTTATAATCCAAATTTGAGATATTACCTAAAAAGGAACTTACAAATTCAAAGTTATACGGTTATATTAAATATGTACCAAAAAGATCTTACTGTATCAATGTGTAATAAAAATAATGATAGTGTTTCAATTTAAACATTGTAATACTAAAATCTAATATTTTTTTAATAAACAAAATAAAATTTGATCTAATAGCACGAAATACTAAATAATTGTATAAAAGAAATTATATCAAATCTGTTTTAGGAATCAAATCCTATCCACTTTCTAATAATTAAGTATTAAGAATTATTAATTATCACAAGTACATAGAATTAAACAAATGCTCAATGATAACATCAAATCAGTACTGAAGATTATGTTTGATGTATAGTAAGTTCCATATTTTATTCAATTATTTATTCCTCAATCCTACGCTTGGCACTCATTGGGTTCATCAGAACATCTGGAGAATATATATATATATATATATATATATAACCCAAGGTCTGAAAAGGAAAAGAAAGGTGCATTGTATCATGAGTGGCAAAAAGGTCTTTTCGTTAAAAAAGTTGATTTTAAAAAAAGGCTTTAATTCAAAAATTAAAGAATAAAATAAGGAAGGTAGAGTTGGCGATCCCAAAGCCTTAAAATTTTGGCGCCAAAATCCAAGTCAATCTTATTCTCTTCCCTCCCTTCATTTCATCCTTCTTGCGTGCTGCCCGTCGGTCAGCTGTTTTCACGGGCACCATTCGTCTTGCCTTCAACCTTTGTGCCCCTTTTACATTTTTTTTGCCCGCAATTACCAATTTCTGCACTGAATTTTACTGGCCGACAAAATTGCTAAATTAAATATCCGTCTGCTTTTTTTTTTACAAAAAAAAACAGACCTTTGAAAAATAATTTTAAACAACTTCAAGATGAAAAATAAAATTTTAAAACATTTTTAGATAGATATTTGACTGTATTAAATTTGAATATTTTTTGATTCAATTACAGTTTAAATTTATTTACCCAAATTAATTTTTAAATAATACTCCTTTTAAATTTTTTTATAAGGTGTTTGAGACATTTTTTCCATGCATTAAGAAAAGTTATGATGTTATTTTATTTATTAAAAATATCCAAAATTTTTAATTATGTTCTCATTAATTAAAAGAATAATAATTTTTCAAGTTAAAAACTAAAACTAAAAAATTATTTTATGTTTTTATTTAATGCTTTAATTTAACTGCATTTATTTGGGTAGGCCTGTATTTTCTAAGATGCAAAAGTAATTTTTATAGCAAACAAGTTGATTTAGTATTTAAAATCAGATCGGGCTTTGGAATTTGAATAATGAATATCCCAAAGGCCAAAATGAAGATACATTCTCCCTGTTTTCTTTTTTTTTTTAATAAAAAAAAACCTCGCATGATTCAAAATTCCATTTAATATATTCTTTTTATTAAAATAAACAGGTAATGATGTTTGGTTACGTCACGAGTTGCCTCGGGTTCTCTCTCACTCTCAACTCTCATTGGTTGAAAACATGCGCCAATTTCAACGTCACTCTTTTCCACTTCATTTATATATAAGCCCCTTCTCCACCTTCCTCTTCTCTCTCTGTGTGTCCCCTCTGCTTCTACAATCTTCATTCGAACTCTTCCATTGAACCATCCTTCAATCTTCCCTTTTCACTCTCTCCCTTTTCCCACCCTCCTCCCCCTCTCACCGGTCAACTCTTTACTTTCACTTTCTTCAACCCTTCCTTTATTCATTCACTGCTCTGCAACATCATTCTTTGCCGCCATGGGTTTCTCCGAGAAGGCGCACCTCGACGGAGCCGCAGCCTTTGACTCTGATAATAGAAAATGGGTCCTTGCCGGAATCTCCCTCCGACCGCCGTTGAAGCCCATATACACCATCCCCGCTGCTGTCGTCAACGACAAAACGCCTCATCAAGACGATGGCGACGAAACAGACGCGTATTGCACGACGCCGACGAGCGAAGAAGCCAGACTCCCGACCACATTCACTTGCCCGCCGGCTCCCAGGAAGCCAAAACCTTCTTCCAAGTTCAATTTCCGTCGTGGGACTCGTCAGTTCTTCAACCCACCAGATTTAGAAACTGTGTTTATACGCTGTGTTGAAAAGGCTAATTGATTCATCTTCATCAAATCAGTAGTACTTCTCAAGTGTACCTTTCTTTTTACCTTAGTTTAAACGCAATCTTCTCCGTTGGGTAGGACTATTTGTACAGTGCAATCTAGATAAATAAAAACGACATCTTCATGGATTCTCTTGCTTGCGTTGCGTTGCGTTGCGAGCTTGAGTTGAGATTCATTCCTTACTTGTTCTGAAGCATCTCGTGTTCGTTTCTGTGCTTTGCTTGAAATGGTAAAGAAGACATATTTCGTTTTCGTGGCAGCGACTTTATTGAATTCTGGTTGGCCGGTGGAGAGGTGTTTTGTATTTGTAGTTTTGTACTGTAGTGAAGCAGTGTGTCTGTTCATGAACACGCGAAGGAATGTGACAAAATTCCACAGTCAAAAAAGTGAGGTAAGCTAAACCAAATACAAGTTGGAGGAAGATCGTTTTCAATGAGTTTGGCTGATGCTGCACGGCTTTTCTTCTTCTCATTGTTCATTGACTAGGACTCAAAGCCCCACTTAAGTAGCACTTGTTGGATTGTAGCCTAAAGCTCTCAATCTGGGTAATTAGATTAAATTTGATAATTTAGATATAATAGTTTTTAAAAGAATAGATTAGTCTGTTCTATTAAATGCATTGATGACAGATTTAGGGAGCTAGCACCCACAAATGTTTTACTTCCTTATAAATGTTTGAAATCATGCTTTAGAAATAGATCATAAAAATTTTTGTAGTTAAATCTCGCCTCCCATAGGTAGAAAAAGAATAAGAAAATTGCCCCTAGAAAATAATCTTAAATCTATCATTGGTTGAGTGGCTTAGATTTACAGTGAAGGTGTAGTAGAGAAAAACTAAAACAGAGAAAAACTCCAATGAAAAGAAGCCAAGTATGTTTGTTATAATGTCAATATATATATATATATATATATAGAGAGAGAGAGAGAGAGAGAGAGAGAGAGACGTGGAGCTACAATTTCTTCTCATTTAGGCCATTGAAGGGATTAATGAGGGGTTTTATTACATATCACAGCAGAGTGTTAGCCCTACTAGAAATCATATGTATTAAAGTCCTAGTGTTTAGATTACGAGAAGTCTTACCTCAAACAAATTTAGATCGAAGAAAATGTGTTGAATGAAAAGTGACGTAAACTCAATACTTTGTTTTAAGATTTTAGGGTAACAACGAGCCTCCCTGGTTTTATTTATTTATTATGTTAAACATAAAGGTCATGGTAATAATTATGAAAATAAATAAGGTTTAAAGTACAAAACCGCCCTGAAGTATTTTTAAAGGTGTAATTAGTATTCTTAAGTATTTTTAGAAGCAATGATGTACCCCTCGATGTAATTAAAATGTTACAAATAAGACCTAACCTAACTTAACGAACTGATGACGTTAACAGTAAAATTGCTTACTTTGACCGTTTCTTGCTCTCTTGATGAATTTCTACGAGGCGCATTATTTTGACCGAGACCTTTATTTTTATTTTTATTTTTCAGTATTAAAATACCATCACGTTTCAGCTTCCATGTCCCCTCCTCTGCCGTCGTATCATTGCCTGTGCCTTCTTCTTCCAAGGAAGATGAGTGGTTCTTAGTCTTCTAAATCTGAACCCTGTTAGTAGGTTCTTTCATCTCAACGTCAACCTTCTTCTTCTAGATATCAGTCAACCTTCTTCTTTCAGATCCCAGAGCGAAGGAGGTCATGGCATTTGATGGAAGCACAATGCTGAAGGTCTCGGTCTCGATGGATGATGTGGTTGCAGATCAAAGGTTATGGATTTTTGTTGGGAATAGAGAGCAACCGTCTGAGAACGGTGGAAGAGGAGAGGTAAGCAAGAGGAATGATAGAATACCACATCTTAATTCAAAATCTCAATGCTCAAATTTATGAATCCTTTTCCTTTATTATATATAAGTTATTAAGCCTGACTTTATTTGATATGAGACTTCCCACATCATTTTAAATCCATTTACATTTGGATAACCTAATAATCTCCCCTACAAGTATGAATCCACAAGCTCTCTATATCAAAAACGCCTCAAACACCAAGTCCTTATTTTTTAGGGCCAGCCCAGTTTTCAAACTTCAAATAGTGTGGTGCACGCAAGTCTCTATTACAATTAGGGTTAGTCATTTGAACTTTAAATATATGCACAATGACGGGCTTTCAAGTCCTGCGCAAAACCTGACTCTAATATCATTTGTTAGAAATGAAGAGTGACCACCTGAGAATGGAGAAAGAGGAGAGACAGGAAAGAAGAGTGGAATGACAACACATCTTAATTCAAAATTTCAAAAATTAATTTTATGAGTCTTTTCTTTTCATTATATATTAGTTATTAAACTCAACTTTATCTAAATCATCTTAAGTTCACTTACACTTAAACAATTTAATCATTTTGAATGTCTTTATTTTGGTATTCAAACAATAGTCATACAATGGCTTCTTCACGACTATCACATGGCTTCTCCAATGGCCAAGCCACTGTTGTTCTCGCCTCCACCATTTTCTACAATAACCCTACCACTATGAGAAACCTCTATACTCCGTCTCTTATTTTGCATTGATAAATGGTGATTTTTTTAACCCTTATTTTTGAGTGAAAACTGAAAATGATTCTTTTGGCGTTTGGAATTACTTCAAGTGAATTGAATGTGTTGTGTGATCTCTATATGTCTTGGGGTTTTTTGCTTCCTCCTTAAACCATATTGTTGTTTGTTGAAATGTTGATATTGGATTGCGAGTGAATGATGATTTTTTGTCAGTGATTTCTTTTTTTTGGGTAAGAGGTTGTTGGCTAAAGTCGCAACCCATGGATCCCTACTAGTTGTGTTTTGCAGAAGCCATGGATCACAACATTTAATGTTCCAAGCTTTGTAAAGAGGAATTTCTTGTTTGAAAATGTTCACTTGCGACGTGAGATGAAAATGAGGGAGGGAAGTGCTTGGTCAGCTTTGGGAAGTTTTAACCAGAGACAAAAACAATACCCAAATCAAAAAGAAACATCTAACGTGGCATTAATGTGTCTGCCAACATAGCACTTAACAGTCAAAGCAACAGTCAACAACCAAATTTGTTGGCCGAGGGTAAAATTGCAGCATTTTAATTACATTAAAAGGAACATTGCTCCTAAAAATATTTAAAAAATACTAATGCTGCCTCTAGAAATACTGTGGAGACCAATTTTTATTTTAACCCTATAAATAAATAAAAAAAAAGGTCAACTTGGTAGTATTGTAAAGAACATAATGATGAAGAGAGACATCCATACCGTGAGCTTCGTGAATCAATCTAATGCTGCAAACTTACGTGACTCTCTATAAACATGATTTAAAATAAATTACTTTCTTAATATATACTCCCACCAATCATTAATATAAAGCAGACTTTAAATTTTTTTTAAGATAAAATTAGAGTAATGAATATATATTTTTTAAACTTTTATCCCTTTTTATTTATTATCATTTGAATTTCAAGGTAACAATAAGTCACAATTAAAAAATTGAAATACTTTTTATCAATTTTAAGGATACACTAGTACTTATCATTTTTTTTAATAAGAGCGAAGTTAATTTTATCTTTTATTAAAAATAAAGAGAGTAGATCAATCGGAGTTAACTCTAATAAAAGAGACTAATATACTATAATATAACAATTCAATATTGAATATTAGTTAAAAAAATGCTCACATTTAATATTTAATTATATTTTAAATAAAATTACTTTGTAGGCAATAAAAAAAAAGGGGGGGGGGGGAGGAATAGAGTGTGGAAGCAAAATTGGTTGAGAAGTAAAATGAGAAGAGGGAAGGTTCTGGGCAATGAAGATGTGGAAAAGAGACAAAGCACATGTGGAGGGGAAGGATTAGAATCCTATGCATATGCAAGTTGGGTGGCCCTAGTTTTGCACTTCTGAACTAATGCTTTCAAGGCCAATTATTGGCACATTGAAAACTTTTATCTTATTCACAAATTCTTTCTTCCACTACCGGTTTCTTCTGGAACTATTATTAATAACTATTTTTAAAATTATATTTTATTCCAACAACTCTTCCCTTCTCTTCTTAGCTTAGAGCAAAGACTGATAGTTGTTTCCAAATTTTGATAATATTACGTATTCAACATACATGATATATGTCCTCGTGTGGCATGCATTTCAATCCATTCCTCTCAATTTGTCTATTTTTAAAATAAAATATTTTTTATTTAAAAAAATAATTATAAAATTATTAATAGAAAACTTAGAGGACAAAAGTGCATTCTAAAATAAAATTTATCAATACATTTTTATTTAATCTTTTCACTTATTAATTTATATAAAAACTTGTTTTGAAAATATATAAGCTAAATCTATAATAAAAAGAGATATTTAAGTTATACACGATGCACCTTTTTTCTGAATCAAATCAAAATAAGTGATTTGTTTCACCTACTTACTTAACCTATAACTAGCTTTTGTTATTACTGAAATTTAGGAAAATCGGCAGTGTTTGGATAATATATATTTTCCAAAACCATGATTTTGAATCCAAAATTTATTTTAGATGTGTATTCAAACAGGTTGTATAGGGAATGTTTATCATGGAGATATTCAAAACCCTGATTAGTTTAAAAGGTGGGGGAATGAAGAAAGAGTGGAGTAGTACGCAAAATATTCACCTAATCTCCTAATAATAATATAATATAATACAATACTTAATAATATAATACTAGTGATATGAAAGTGAAAGCATATGGTTTATGAGGATTGGAGTTAGTGATGGAAGCTAAATGCAATAACCAGATGGCATGTGGTTCAACTTGTAAATAATGGAGTTAAATCAATTTATTTTGAATTCTCAAGTTCTAATAATAATCATATATAATGGGATTTTGGATTAGATTAAAATGAAAGTGGTAAAATCATTAGATTTCTTAAGATATTGGGCTATGGATTAAAAAAAAAAAAAGCGAAGCTTTATTTAAGAGTTGAGAAGGGCAGATTGTGGTTGGCTTAGTGGCTTGAAGTGTGTGGGGTCGTACTGGACTAAATCCTTAAATTAATCATCCTCATTATTGCACATCACATGATCTCCATCGTTAATTATATTCACAAATCACATTTGAATAGGCGTGCAATTAATTATAAAAAAAATATAATTTTA